CTGTGTCACTCATTCACTTGGCCTGACCTAGGCGAAAGTAAAACTTCTACATCTAGTCTTTTTCTTTAGTGGTTGTGTTGGTTGGAATGAGAATGTCTGGTCCCTTGCTGGAGCTGTTTGGAAAGGATTAGGAGGTATAATCTTGTTGGTTCATCTCACTGGTGTAAGGATTGTATACTTTTTTCCACATTATTCTCAAAAATTTATTTCAAGTTTCTGCTCAGACATCCCCTTATAGTGAATTCTTTAATTTCCCAGAAGTCAGCACTCTCCCATGTCCTGACCCTCTTTATCCCAAAATTTTCTCCATACTTTGATTGCTATCTCATATACTTGTTTGATTATCTGTTTACCCTAAAATATAAGCTCCATAGTGGCAGAGACTCTTAACTATTCTTATTGCCTCTTACTCGATCCCCAGTCCTTGGTGCTAAGTACTATGAATAGATGACTGTAAAATATGTATGGGAAAATGTATCAATGGATAACAATATTAATTGGTAAAAGATTGGTTCTGGGATCAGACTGTCTAAATTGAAATCTTGATTTTTACCACTTGGCTTATTTTTTTCAAAAATGAAAATAGTGTCTACTTCTTAGGGCAGTTATGAGATTAAATGATGTTATGTGTATAAAATATTTAGTCTCACAAAAATAGACACTTGATATAATTGACATGAATGAGACATAACAGGGTTCAGTGTGGGAATGAATAAGGGCATAGGTAACCAACCAATATTCTTGTAGGGAATCCACAAGTTGCAGAAGGTCAAGAAGTTTAGGCTTTAACACAACTATTTCCTAGACAGGAAAAAATAAATGTGCATTCTGTTCAGTATTTCCTGATTAGTCTTCAATACTGCCTAAAATCTATGTTTGTATTATCAGCTAATTCCCTTTTCTGCACAAGACTTTCAGACTTCCTATACACACCCATCACCATTTCCTTTTGTTTTTATTCTTTATTCTCAAATAATAACATACCACCTGTTTGTTTGAGACTGGGTTTCTCTGTGTAACAGCTCAGGCTGTCCTGGAACTCAACTCTGTAGACTAGGCTGACCACAAGCTCACCTCCTGTTTTTTTTGTATTTTTTGTTTTGTTTTTAAGGCAGATTTCTCTAGAGGGATATGTGTTTGTGTGTGTATGTGTAAGAAGGGAGGGAGCGGTTAAATTTGTTTTACACATGAAGCAGAATTTTGACCTCTACACACGTCATGGCACCTGTGTCTTATCTATCTATCTATCTATCTGTCTGTCTGTCTGTCTATCTATCTACCTATCTTCACACGAAATAAATATTACTGTAACTAATTTTTTTTAAATCACTTCTTCAAGAGATTGGAGAGATGACTCAGTAGTGAAGAGCACCTGTTGCTCTTTCAGAGGATCGGAGTTGGATTCCTACCACCCATATCAGCTTACATTTTCACATCACTTCAACACCTGGGATCTGGCTTCCAAGGGCACCACATACATGTGTGCTTACATACACACACACACACACACACACACATACATGAATGCAAAAAGATTAATTCTTAAGGTAGGATCTTTTTCTCATAAACAGGTAAATTTGAATCAGTATATTTTCCATGACAACATACACTTTTTCTTTTTTAAACAAGAGTTATGTTTACTTTTCCTATATTGACCTTTACACATTAAATTCCAAGAGAACAATTACTGTCCCCCTGTCATTTTTAATCTACAGACTCATGACCAAAAAGCAAGTTGGGGAGGAAAGGGTTTATTTGGCTTACACTTCCATGTTGCTGTTTATCACCAAAGGAAGTCAGGACTGGAACTCAAGTAGGTCAGAAATCAGGAGCTGATACAGAGGCCATGGAGGGATGTTATTTACTGGCTTGCTCAGCTTGTTTTCTTATAGAACCCAAGACTACCAGCCCAGGGATGCTATCACCCACAAGGGGCCCTCCCCCCTTGATCACTAATTGAGAAAATGCCACAGGGTATGAAGGTACCAAAAGCCAGCATGGCTGGAGTACACAGAAAGTAAAGCATGAGTCAAGTCAACTCAACAAATATGATCAATAGTAAAGTTATTAAGATAAAGCTGGAGATAGGTAGGACTAGACTATACACAGCCCTATAAATTGTGACTAAAACTCTAGGTTTCAGGAAGAACACTTGTGTAGCATATACAAAGCCCTGGTTTCAATCCCTAGCACTAAAATAGTTCTTGTTTTTATCATAAGAATTGTTTTAAGCATACTTACTTCCTGGCTGATGAGTAGATAGGTTAAATGAAGTACAAAAGTAGGCATAGGGAGAAGCAGCAATGCAATAGTCCTACTGGAAGAGCACAGTAAAGATAAAGAGAAACAGAACCAAGGGATATTTAGAAATGTAGGATGATGGAATCTGGCAATTAAGTGAGAGGATCAAAAGGATGTGCTTATGCTTCTAGCTTCTGCAACTAGAGGAATACTAGGCATAACATGAAAGTTTATAAGAAAAAAAATAGGTTTGAACTTTTTTAAATGTATCTAAAACTTTTATGTGCACTGGTGTTTTGCCCACCATGTGGGTGCTGGGAATTGAACCTGGGTGTCCTCTTGGTTAAGAGCAACCAAGGCTCTTAACCCCTGTGACATCTCTCCAGGCCCAAACTGTTCTTGAGACAAGTGAAGATGTCAAGTAGCTTAAACATCTAGAGTCATCAGTACCTAAAACTTGAAGTGGGGGAATGAAACCATTCTAGAAAAACTCAAGAGAAGTAAAGGCTATAAAGAGAGTGAATCCAATACAAAGGTTAGGATACCACAGTTAAAAGAATAGGAGTAAAACCTAAGAATGGAATCAAGACACTGAGAGAATGTCAATGAGGCACTAACTATAAATAGTATCCAATGTCATTGAGAGATAAGTATGTAGAGGACCAGGAAATTATCAATGGATTTAGAGATATAAGGTTACCAGGTGATCGTAATAAGCACTCTTTGAATGGAGTAAGGGCTACAGAACTCAAATTGTGCTTGTCTAGGGAATGGGAATGCATAACGGCTTGCAAGGTGGATACAACTGTGTTTGAGATAAATCTGTAAAGTGGTAAAAAATGGGATGGTAACTGAAAACTCAGTATAATTGTTTAATAGTGGAGTCCTCAGCATATTTAGAAACTGACAACAATTGGAAGCCCTCAAGTAGGAATGACTAGGACTCAAAGCCCAAGAATGAGCACTGGCACTGGACAAGAGGGTTTCTCATTATTTAGAAGGGAAAGGGAATGATGTGGATGGGTTAGTCAGCAGTAGAATACTATAGATTACCTACAGATAGCTTTTATTTTCCCCATGGAGCAATGGAATGGCTTACAAAAAGGAAACTGTAAGGGACTAAGAGGGTTACAAATACTGACTTAAAAGCACTTGAGAAGTAGAGGGAAGAGGATCTATGAAGTTCCAGGCCAGACAGGGCTACAGAGTGATACACTGCTCAAACAAAAGACACACACATACATGTTATTCAATTAGAGTCTGAGAGCCAAGATTCCATTTGAACTTAACTATGAATCAAACTGGCATAAATATGCTTTACAGCGATCTCCTTAAGTAGAATTTAGTTGTTCAAATGCAGACACAAATGTTCGTAAGAGGGAAGGACACCCACAAAAAAATAAATAAATAAATAAAAAATAAAAAAATAAATAAAAAATAAAATCAGCTCTAACAGGAAAATCACTGGGGTTTAAGCTGGCTAGGAATGTAAAGGTAAGTGCTAGTGAGAAAAGGAAGAATGGGAAAACTACAGTAAAATCAAATGATAGTAGGGACAGTGACTTCCTAAACCAAGCAGAAGGAATATGGCTAGTGAATAAAATTAAAGAAATAGTGTTTTGTTGTTTGATTCAGAATGCTATTAATATAGCAGCATTCTGAAGACTGAGTGGCTTAGAATGATGACAATAGCCAAGACACAACTAAATGGAATGAAGTGATCTTAACTACTGAATGGATTGTCTGTATAAACATCAAAGCATAAGTGGTGGATAGAAGTACAAGCGCCATTTAGAAGGGAGGAGGAAAGTACATGAGAAGAGTAAAGCAGTGAGAAGGCTATATGGATCAACAGCTTTAAAGCAAATAGACTGAGCTGAGGAACAGACAGTGAAGTTCTAAAGTCAGAAAGACAGGACCACCACCTCTGCCCTCCAGTGTCTGTGATGTAACATTATGTCAAACTTTACTCCTGGTCTGGGTATATAGGTCACAGGTAGAGCCCTTTCTTAGCATGTACAAAAACCTGAATTTGACCTCCTGAAACCCTCTCACCTCAAAAACAAAACAAAACCAACAAAGCCACACAAACACCACTACCACCATCACTACCACAAAACCCAAGCAACCAATCAACCAACCAACCAACCGAACTATCTCTGCCAGGTGGTGATAACATACATCTTTAATCCCAACACTCAGGAGACAGAGGCAGGTGGACTTCTGTTGAGTTCCAGGCCAGCCTGGTCTACAGAGTGAGTTTCAGAATAGCCAAAGCTACAGAGAAACTGTCTCAAAAACAACAAAACAAAACAAATAATTACTATGACAAATGGCTATCACATTATGATAAGTCCTGAAAACGATCAGAAACTATACAAAGTGGGCAGTAGGAATGGGCTTTTAAGTGTTGAAGGGAAGAAACTGGAGAGGAAACTGAAAGTAGAAAAGGACTGACAGGCCAGACTGAGGCACATTTGTTTCTGCATTGAAGGCAGACAAGGTACAGATAATGCCGGGTGTATAAGCTCTCTAGACTGAGTGTGGGGAGCATAGGAGTGAACCCCAGCACTTGGAAGTAGAGGCCAGTGAATCTGAATCCAAGGTGTGAGACTGCATAGTGAGACCATCTCAAAAACAAAACGAGACAAAACAAAAGTTCAAATAGTTCAGAGAGTGGGATCCGGCCATATCTGTTTCCTAGTCTTTTTCCAGAAATTACTAACTATGTGTGACATGGGAAGGAAGGAAGCACAGACAACTCATACCACATGTTTATTGAAAGGATACATACAGATGCTGATGTAGAGCTGTCTTAGCAGCCACACCATATCCTGGGTCTCCACTTTCCTGGTTTGGGGAATTAAGAAGTTCACGAGCTGTTCTATTCATGTTTGTACTTCTCAAGGAGTGAAACTAATCATGCAGACAGGTCACTCTTTAGGGAAGCTCCCGGTCAGCAATTGTTATATGCCTAAAAAATTATCTAGCAGCCAGTTGTAGCCCATGTCTGTAATTCCAGTACCTAGGAGACTGAGACAGGAAGATCACAAGTTGAAGGCCAATGGGCCCACAGCAAAACCACCTAAAAGGAAAGGGGGGGGGGGTGAGAAAGAAAGAAAGAAAGAAAGAAAGAAAGAAAGAAAGAAAGGAGTGACACACCAAATCTGCCTTTTAAGAACTGTATAAGACAGGGCTCTCCTAAGGTCTGTTTTCTTGCTTCTTTACCTGTTTAATGAAAAATAATACCTCCTAGTTTTGCAATTAAAAGGAGTAAGTATGATAAATGTATACAAAATAACTCAACAGACATGATTAGAGAAGCAGCCTGCTGTAGTGCAAAAAATATCAGGCTGCACTTTATTGATAGAGTCTTCCTATAACAGCGCAGACTGCTTTCAAACTCACAGTTCTTCGCCTGTCACATGCTAGGATTACAGGCATGCATAACAAGCCTTGGAGCAACATCTGCCTCTCAATATGGAGTCGACTAAGATTTTTAATTTTTCGGCTGGCCAACACTTGGGAGGTAGAGGCAGGAGGATCAGAAGTCATCTTTTTTCTTTTTTTGTTTTTCGAGACAGGGTTTCTCTGTGTAGCCCTGGTTGTCCTGGAACTCACTCTGTAGACCAGGCTGGCCTTGAACTCAGAATTCTACCTGCCTCTGCCTCTGCCTCCCAAGTGCTGGGATTAAAGGCGTGCGCCACCACTGCCCAGCTCAAGGTCATCTTCAGTTACGATTTCAAGGTCAGTCTTGGGTACATGAGACCCTCATCTCAAAATAAATAAATAAATAAATAAATAAATAAATAAATAAATGCATATTTCTGACCTATGGGTGGGGGGAGGGCAGAGAATCTGCTCTGTGATTGGTTGGTTTTGACTAGGAATTTAATTCCTCTGTAAAAAAAGAAAAAAATGAAAGCTGGCCACCTGTTGCAATACTGGAGGGGATGGGATGGGATTAAGGGAAGCAGTGAAGAGGAAGTGGGTAGCTTAGTTGTTAGGAGTTCCTGACTGACAAACACAAGTTTAATCTCCTGTAAAACAGTAATAGATGCAGACCCTATGCTGTTGCTTGCCCTGCAGGCTGTGTTATCCTTGAAACTCCAAGTGGTGGTACATGCCACATCCTCCTTCCTTCCCCATCTCCACACTGGGAATGAAGTCATGGCAGGAAAGGACAGTAATGAAACAAGACTAGAGAATATGAGAGTATCATCAGAGTATGAGAATAATGTAAAGCGGGGGTAGAGAGCTGAAACTAGGAGATTGGAAAGCAGTGAGCACTGAGGAAGCATGGGGGTAGAGGGCGCTCACAGACTGTATCCAGCCATCCCTCCCTAATACCATCTCCCTCTCCCTCAGGTTTCTCTTTTTGAGGGTTGACTAAAGCTGTCTTCCTGACTGACTCTGAAGACAAGAAAGCCCTTCTTTGTTTAAAGTCTTTATTGCTAATTTCACAAAGGCAGGAAATCCTAAGAGAGTAAATTGGGGAAATGGTCAGCATTCCTGAATTCTCACAGGCTTGTCTTTGTTCTGTGGTCACTGATCTCCTAGGAAGTGGCTAAAGCCTAAGGGGCGCTGTGTTCTTCCTGCTTTTGTTGTTTGGTATTACCTTCTTCCCTTAGACCCACAGCAATTCTTTTTGTTTGAAAGCTAAGAATAAAAACTAGTTATGAACCAATGTATATTCAGGTCCTTGAGTTGGTCCCAAGGACAGCCACCGAGAGCTCTCCTTTTGGAACCAATTTCTCATTGCTATTACTAACCTTAAAACTGTACTCATAATCCCTGCTTTTGCTGGGGTGCTCGGAATGCTGAATTTGTCCTTCTACATACAAGAAGGCAATAATACATCAACCGCCAGGGCTAAAGGCAATACACAGGCACTAGATTACAGAATAAAGGATAGTACCAATAGACAAAAGTTCTTGCCCAGAAAATTAACCAGAAAATAAAAACGGGTTTATTGGCTTCCAAGAAATGGAGCAACAGCACCCAGCTTTCAAGCTCAATCTCTCTGTCCACATTTAGATAAGCCTGAGGTCCACAGAGGAGCCCATCCAAGCACCTTCTCTCCTGGGGCCAGGGACGGCTAGCTGCCTGATGGCGAGTCTCTGGTCTGTTCTGCAGGAACACCTGGCTCGGCCGAGGCAGCCTCGTAGTCCGCGATGCGGCGCTGGACCAGGGCGGGCATGAGGTGCACGTAAGCGGCCATGAGGCGGTGGTTCGAATGAATGAGTTTCCCAGCACAGCTGTGCAGGCAGGCCTCCTGGAAGGAAGACGGATGGAAGAAGAAACAAAAAGGGGTCCTGCCAAACCCTCCTCCTTCCTCCCGCTCCCCAGCCTAGGAGTGAGGTCATGAATGAGGGGAAGTGGGGGAAGGGGGTGTCACGTCGCGTTGTCAACTCTGGGACCCCCCACAGTCTCCACCTCCTCAGCGTCCAGAGCTCGGTGGTGCAGGCTGGGCACACAGCGCTGGAAGCACAGTTCTGTCATCCGATTGTAGACCAACAGGAAGTCTCGCAACTGAGAGAAAAGGGAACCAAGACTTCACCACCGCCGAGGCTTCTCGGGGTGCGCAGCCCGCCCCCAGCTCTGGGGTTCTTGCGTGGACCCCTGGGAACAAACTGCCCGTCTCACCCAGAGTGCAACTTAGCTCTCACTCACGTTTCTCAGCTGCTGCTGCTGCTGCTGCTCCATCACGCCCAGGGCGCACGGCCCACGTCACTTCCGCCGGGCGGGGGGCGTTCTCCGAGTCGTCCCGGAAGTAAACTCTGGCTACTCACTAAGAGCTTGAAGGCGTAGCTCCAGGCTCGCCCTGCCCACAACTGCAAACGTCACCTCCGCCCGTTTTCTCTGCGACGTGGCCGGCTTCTTCTGCCCAGAGAGCGTGTCACTTCCGCCAAATCTCTGACCTGCTGCTAGGATCGCGACGGGAACTGGAACCCGAGGTCCCCGCGCGGTCCGGGCCTCGCGCCCTGAGGGGAAGAGCGGCCCGGCCCAGGTGAGAAGGACATACTTGGACGAAGGGAAGTTGAACGCACGAACCTGTACTGAGGGCAAGATGCCCTGAGCCCTTGGCAAGGATGAGGACACACCTGATGCCCAGGTGTATGGGGGTGGGGGGAGCCTCTCACAGCTGGGAGGCTTCAACTGACTTTGGAAGGGATTGCCTCTGTCCTGAGGAAGAGAGGCTTTCACTTGACACCAGGAACATTCACTAACTGCTTCAACTAAGGCCTGGTGGGGAGGGCCTGAGGAAGTCAGGTGCATGAGATGGAGAAAGGAAGAAATCAGACCGTCTGAAGGAAGAGGGGAAGGAACACCAAAGGATGTGAAAGACCAGGATTGCAGAGCATGCCTGAGTGGCAAGTGTGCACTGAGCCTAGGAAAGGGTTTTGGTAAACATGCCTATGCAGGGTTAAGTTCCCAGAGAGCATAGACCTCCCCTCTGGTCCTCACTGCTGTAATTCCATTGCCTTGGTATCTCACACATAGTAGACATTCACTAAATGTTTGTTGAATGACTGAATGCATGAATGGTTCCTAAAGGCGAGGTTGGGGGTTATGAGAAGACCCTCGGGGCTTTTGTATGCATGCATCTGTAGAAATAATATACTCAGAAGAGAAGAAATACACATACCCAAGGAAAGAAGTGGTGGCTGATCCTGGGACACCCAAGCCCTAAGACAACCCCTGAAACCTCTGAGAACACAGGGAAGGCCTCCTTGTTCTGGAGTGCTGGCTAGTTTCCAGAATTGTCTCTGTTGGGCTTTACAGCGCGCTGGGGTGGACACCTTGACTCCAGTCCCTTCCCTAGCCATGACGGACGGGATTCTAGGGAAGGCAGCCACAATGGAGATTCCCATCCACGGAAATGGTGAAGCTGGACAGCTTCCTGAAGACGATGGGCTGGAGCAGGTGCTTCTGTTTGATTCTTCTAACTGTTTCATTATGCAGTCCTAACTTATACACCTTTTACTTTCCCCCATCCCGATAGCCTTCAGTTAACTAAACTCCTTCATACTTTTCAAATCTTCTTTATGGTTCTGTACAGATTTTACTGTGCACTGTCTCCGTCCCCAAAATGTTTCATCCATCCCTGTGTTCCTGAGGTGCCCCCTCTTCTCTGACCTATAGGACCTCCAGCAGGTGATGGTGTCAGGACCCAACCTCAATGAAACTAGCATTGTGTCTGGTGGCTATGGGGGCTCTGGTGATGGACTCATCCCCACAGGTATGAATGATAGAGACAGGCTTGAGGGATGGGGATGGGGTCGTTAAGACAGCTTGCAGGCACACAGGACACATACAGTAGAGTTTGACTCGTGGACTGGAGAGCTTGCGAACTGCTAGTGTGAGGCTCATAGACTGTCCAGTCCCAGGCCAGCTCCCAGAGTTACCCATGTGCTCTCCACTTGCCACTTAGTCTCTAAGATAATCTCATTTGTCGTTTCCTCCCAGCCGCCACCACCTGAGCCAAGTTAAGACCTTGAGGCTATGAGCGCTCAGGAGCTTAACCTCAAGCTTTGGAGCTTTGTGAGGCACCTCAGAATTTCATTCTAGACTCAAATACTGACTAGAATTCTACCTAGAAACATCAGCCAACTTCCCTGTTTTCTGTGCCCATCATCTTTGATCCTGCCAATCGCATGTCATGTTTGCTTCTGTTTCCTCGTGTACACCAACAACATTCCTACCCTACCCCACGAATGCCATATACATACATTGAATTGATTTGATCATCAGGACAGGAGTCCTTGTAACCCCTAGTGAGCAGAAGAATGCAGTTGTCTGTCTAGCTATTCCTTCTTCAGAGAGGTCATTTCATGTGCTGGGAGGGAAGTGGGCCACAGAACTGTCTGGTTATATCTAAGAGAAACTAGTGTCAGAGAACTTGGTCCTTTAGGGTCTGGCCGCCATCCATCTCACAGCACGTCACCCTCTGGCCCTGGTGATGAGGTGGCCCGGGGCATCGCTGGAGAAAAGTTTGACATCGTCAAGAAATGGGGCATCAACACATATAAGGTAAGAATCAAGTGCCACTTCTCAGAAACTCTCCATGGGGACCTTTTCCCTTTCCCCAGGTCTTACTGTACAGTCTTTGCTATGACTAAGAGAACGGGGGTGCTGGAGTAGTTCCTTGTTGAGGTGGAGTTTAGATTTCTGACCTCCCACCCCCCCCCTTCCAATCAGTGCACAAAGCAGCTGTTATCAGAGAGATTTGGCCGAGGCTCCCGGACTGTGGATCTGGAGCTAGAGCTGCAGATTGAGTTGCTCCGTGAGACGAAGCGCAAGTATGAAAGTGTCCTGCAGCTGGGCCGGGCACTGACAGCCCACCTCTACAGCCTGCTGCAGACCCAGCATGCACTAGGTGATGCCTTTGCTGACCTCAGCCAGAAGTCCCCAGAGCTTCAGGTGCCTCAGCCAAAACAAAGAGGGTGGGGGTACTGGGCCCTGGTCCTTCCAGGCAGGCATTCCTCAGCCTCCCTCCCTCCCTCCCTCCTGCAGCCCCCAGGGAGAACCCCTCTGGGGTGTGCCCAGTCTTGCCCCCAGCATCATTCACCTATGGAGGCAGCCTAAGGGTTTGTACAGAGGTCCAGAAGTTGGAGGGGTTGTGGGAGAGGGCTCACCAGTACCTCACAAGTAACCTGTCTCCATATCATCAAGAATGCCTTTGGTGCTTGGCCTAATCGGACTCCCTCCCTGCCTGTTGCACTAGCTTTCCTTGTTCTGTCTTGTAAACTCACCTAAGAACTCCTACTCCCACACTCTCACCTCAGGCATCGCCAAGGGGACCCTACTAACTTTGTGGCTAAGAGAGCCTTGCTAGAGGCAGTCTGGTTGTGTATTTATGATGGCTGTTTCTTCTTGGGATGGAGGGGAATGAAGGGCTCTACAGCTCCAGTCAGGTAAGGAGTCTTACTCAATGCTGTGCCTCCCTTCTGCCCTTAGGAGGAATTTGGCTATAATGCAGAGACACAGAAGCTGCTGTGCAAGAATGGGGAGACCCTGCTAGGGGCTGTGAACTTCTTTGTCTCTAGCATCAACACACTGGTCACCAAGACCATGGAAGACACACTCATGACTGTCAAACAGTATGAGGCTGCCAGGTGTGGGCCCAAGGTTTGGGAAGTTGGCTGGCATGGGTGAAAATGCAAACATTAGGGGCGTACAGACTCAGAAAGGAAAGGAAGTATGTGTGTGGATGAAGAGGTGGAGACCAGCCTTTATCACCCCCTTCCCAGGCTGGAATATGATGCCTACCGGACAGACTTAGAAGAGCTGAGCCTAGGGCCCCGGGATGCAGGGACTCGTGGTCGACTTGAGAGTGCCCAGGCTACTTTCCAGACCCATCGGGACAAATATGAGAAGCTGCGGGGAGATGTGGCCATCAAGCTGAAGTTCCTGGAAGAAAACAAGGTGCTGCCCTACTCCCTTGGTCCTAAGTCACCTAAGTCCTAAGTCACAGTACCTGTCCCTTCGGACCCTCCTGATTGTTGGGTGGGGAGATGTCCCTGGCTAGGGAGTAGGTTGTTCCCCTAGCCCCTTGATACCTGAGCACTTTCAGGTCACCCTCCTCATCACTGGCCTTTTTTGTTAAGGATCTGGCTACTAGTCCCAGTAGCATAACTGAAAAAAAATTGCCCCTTGGCCTGGGGTTCCAGAACCCCTAGTGCTAGCAGATCAAGTCAGATTTCTTTCTTCATATTGCTTCTTCTCTTTTGACTGCTTGGAAAGACCTCACCCCAAAGCACTGTCAGCAGAGTCTCTATGCTCTGGTCTGTGTCTGGGCTTAGGCTTGTAGCCCTCTTGAAGGGTACCTGAGTCCAGCCTTAGCTGACCCTGCTGGCCCCCAGATCAAGGTGATGCACAAGCAGCTGCTGCTCTTCCACAATGCCGTGTCTGCCTACTTCGCTGGGAACCAGAAACAGCTGGAGCAGACTCTACAGCAGTTCAACATCAAGCTGCGGCCTCCAGGAGCCGAGAAGCCTTCCTGGTTAGAGGAGCAGTGAGCGGCTCCCAGCCCAACTTGGCTATCAAGAAGGACACTGGGCAGGGCAGCCCCAGGGTGGAGGAGATTGGACATGGGATGTCCTTTGCCACTTACTTGCTGGCTTGGGCTCACCTTTTCTGGCTGGGGTCTGATACCAGTTTTGCCCATCCTGCTGTGGTCTGAAGAGGGCCTCTAGGCTCAGAAGCTGCTGCCCTGTCCTTTATCTTCCCAGCCACTGGGCTTCATTCCCAGATCTTTTCCTTTCACTCCACAGCCAAAGGCTATGACAAAACACTCCTGGCCAATGACATCACTCCTCAGGCCTGTCCCCAGCTCTTGGGATGTGCCCCTGACCAAAGACAGGACCTCAAAAGGCTCTGTCAGCCAATGGCAGCTCTTCTTGGGCTCCCCTGGGCCAATAGTGTTGCCTCCAGTACCCTTTGTCCCTCCTCAATGTGTGTCCATTGCAGAGAAGGGAACTGGGACCAAAGGAGTGGGGCTAATGGGGAGCCCCATTTGTGGCCCTGCATCTGAATGGGCCCTCCCCTCATCCGCCCACCCAGTTGAACTGTGCTTAGAGCCCCAGAAGACTGGGTTCTAGCACTAGGAATAAACCTTTCATAAAAGCAGGCCCAGTGAGGTCAATTTGTGGGGGCTAGAGGAGGGTGGATTGGTAAGAAATGCTCAGTAGTCTTTGCATTCAGGTCCTATGAATTCAAAAGAGCTGCAGCTAAATTTGAGAAGCTGCCG